CTTGACTGTAAGCTCAAGTAGGACAGGGACTGTGTTTTTGCTCATCATTGTTCCCCAGTGTCAGAATTTGGCCTATACTGGAAGTTTAATACATACTTATGGATTCATGCAGAGCTAGTACCCCTGATTTTGCTACATATTGGCTGTGTGATCTTGGACTAGATACTTATTCAAGTTTTGTTTCCTCCTGTGATAACTGAGGGTAATAATACCCACTTTTACAAAGGTATCTAAGTTCATCTTTGCAAAAGATGACCTCCAGGACTCCCTTTCCTTTGTCTTATAGCTCCTCTAGGTCCCACATGTTCATTGGCCTGAACTCTTAGAACTCTAACCTGGGCAGAACCTTAAAACCTAATGCAACCCTGTAAGTTTGGAATGTCATGGCACCCAATGAATTCATACACGGGACTCAATAAATACTTAGTTATTATTGCCACTATTAAAAATTGTTCACTGTCCAGTAAAATAAGACAGATACCAAAATATCATTCTACAAATATGGTAATGCTATGAAAGAGAAGCAAAATTATATGCAAATTAAGAAAGTTAATTTCTGAAGGGTCAAGGAAGGCTGCATAGGAAGTGGCTTTTATCCTGCATGAAGGATAGATAGGATCCTATAGATGTAGGATGGAGAGAGCAACAGTCTAGGAGAACCAACATCATCTAGCATACCTGAACTTACTTAAGAGAATGTGGTCCTAAAGTCACTGGGCAGTTCTGGGAGCTCTTTTGTTAGCTTCTTCCTTCTTTCTCCCCAGTGAACCTTCCAAATTCTTCTCTCCTCAATCTCTCTAAGAAACTCCTATTCCTGCTCTCTCCCTGCTTTACAAGAAAAAAAGGAGACCAATGGGCATGAACTCCCTCAACTTGCCACACGTAAGATGCCCTGTCTGTCCTTCCTTCACTTCCTACATCCTTCTCTTCAAAACTTAAATCATGACAAATAATTTAAGTACAACGTATAATGACAAAGAAGCCTAATAAAATACCATTGTTTTTGAGAGAACAGCATTTTTCGAATGAATCAGAACTGGTGGATTAAAGAATGTGTGGTTAATGTGTGGTTAACTGCCTGCAGAGCAGCCCAAATGGAATCGTCTGCCTTTACCTTGAGCTCTCCAGGCTTCTTCTCCTCAGAGGACTTGCAGCGGGTGATCTCCTGCAGCTTCTGCTCCAGGGGCTCCAGGCACTTCTGCAATTTTTCCTGAGGGTGGGAAGTGGGAGAGGTAGCATTTGGGGTTGGCTGGTACATCCTACATTCAGAGGTTAACCCATTTACTTTAAACCATTATTTGCTTCCTATCCATCTCATCACCTCTTGATCCCACTCCCTTCCTTGCCTGTCATTTGGGGTGTCAATTTCTGGTCCTTCCTCCTGCCGCCAGCCTGTCCCCATCATCTTCCTTGCTCTCCAAACTTTCCTCTCACTGAATCTCACAGTTGTCCAGCTGTGTCCTTCCCCAGTCCTATCATTTTCTTACTCAAGTGACTGCCTATTATGGTCAAAGTGACTTTCTGTACTCTGATGTCCTTCTTTACACTTGTCCTCCCATCCAACTCAAACCACCTACAAATATAATAAAGTCTTTATTACTTATACTGTAAACAACTTTAAATCTTGTGTCCAAGATTTTATTAACATAATTAAACAAAATACTTGATCAGTGCTAAGATATTAAAATCTTTAGTTCCTATTACTCGAACATTTACCCTGTGTCCCAACAGTAATTAAATCCGATGCCACATTATCTATTATCTAGGCAGATACAAATGGCAGACAAGTTCAGCTTAGTCTGGTGGGGATCAGTCTAAACTAATGTTATGTATTCCCAATACCGATGGGAAAATAAGGAACATTCTGAGCAGGCGGACAGATTGAAGAAATCAGACCACTTTTCAGTTCCTCCTAAGTTTGACCATCTCCAAGTGGTTTCATTCATTTATAAAAAATGATACATTATAAGACCACACAAACCAATATTCACCCATGAGACTCAAATGATGTTAGGAAAAGTCAGAAAGCAATTTTGAGGCACTCCTCAAAACTGCTCTTCTTCATGCTTGAGGATAACTGATCAGATGTACTGTGTGCCCTCTGTGTATATAGCTCTGAGGTGACTAGAGAGTAAGGACCAGGTACAGTCGCCCTCAGCTTAGGATCCTCTACCCAGGGAGTCTCCCATCCTCTGTGCTCCTCTCTCTTGCCCCACCTTGGCATCATGTGTCTGGTTCCCCACCTTGTACTCCTGTGTGGCATCATCCAGTGGCACGACGGTGTGGGCCCGGTGGGTGTGGGAAATTGCACATATCAAACATACAGCCTCCTGGTCCTCATAGCAAAAGAGGCTGAGGGCCTCATGGTGCTGGGGACAGAGGCTTTCATCTCGGATCTTCCGCTTAACAGCCTGGAGCTGCTTGGCAATTTCCACCATACTGCCTAGTTGTCGATTAGGTCGGAGACTGCGGTAGCGGGATGTTTTTCGACAGACAGGACAAGGGAAGTCCCTCTCTAGGTCCTCCCACCAACGGGTGATGCAAGCTTTGCAGAAGTTGTGTCCACACTCAATGATGACAGGCTCCTTCAGATACTCCAGGCACACAGAGCAACTCGCCTCCACCTGTAAGTTCTCCAGCGCTGCAGCTGTGGAGGCTGCAGAGGCCCCAGCATCTAACAGACTTGTCTCTGCCATTATTTAACTTAGGGATGGAAAGGGAGCAGAGAGAGAAAAATATTAGTTGGAGGTTTAATTTCTTTGTACCCCTGGCCTGACATTTACTCCCATGATAAGTCCTAACTCCAGTTAGCCCTATTTTGGTATTTTACATCTTCTCTTCCACTAGATTCAACTTTTTTTTTTTTTTAAAGTAGGCTCCATGCCCAGTGTGGAGCCCAAAACAGGGCCTGAACTCAGGACCCTGAGATTGAGACCTGAACCAAGGTCAAGAGTTGGACGCCTAACCCACTGAGCCATCCAGGTCCCCCTCAACCTCTTTTATGTTTCTGTTTCCAAAACCTGTGACTCCCAGCCATCAATCTATTTTTTTTTTCCTCCTCAGCACACTGACACCCAACCACCAATCTTTGTCTTTACCTCTGCTTTCTCTTTAGAGGCTTCCTTCAATGCTAGTCCAGCATACTTCTCCTAATCCAGACCTATCCCATATGTATCTTAAAAACAGACCAATGTATCCCTAGTTTGACATATCTTTCTAATAGATAAGAAAGGAGCTTGGCAAACTGAAAAGTGCCATAAAAGTCAAAATATTAATTAAGATTTCTTAAGTATATTTTAAAGTTTAATATTACAGAAAAATTTTTATTACAATAGCTCTTTGAAGCATAAGCTTCTCTGCCACTGTTCTGTTGCTCTTTCAAAGGGTAAGAAAAGGAATAAGTTAGGCGAGAGTAAACAAGCTCTTCTTTTCAGGAAAATTTGAAATTATTCTTTCTTTCATCAGACTAGTCTAGAGGAAGTGTGCCTTCTTGGAATGAAATGACTCACACAACATCCCATTTCTTTGTGTGCATTTGGACATTTGGAACTGCTGAAAAGTGATAAATATTTGGCAACTACACTAAAGTTTATTAGTATATACTTCTCGAAAAATATACGCTTTTTGAAAAGAGGGCTGACAAGTCTTTTCTAAATATTCAGCAGTGACTGGCGTCTTTTGAAAGAGCTACTGAAAACTAATTCCTTGGAGGTACTGTGCCTCCAACTAATAGGTGCTGGAGTGGTTGGGAATTAGAGAAGAAAAAGTAAAGAGTCAATCAAAGTCTCTCTCAAGTGAAGGCTCAAAATACTGGAAATGCATCAAAGGGATTTATAAAGCAGAAGGCTGGTCCCCCACTCCTTCCTTAAAAATCACCACTTTTATCCATGAAATAGTTGATTTCTCTATCCACCCTCCTTCCCCTCCACACCAAGGGACCCAACAGAAGAAAGGAAATTTAGTAGGTCTAAGTGCTAAGAGAGAAGTGGCCATGTCATGAGTTGGGTTAACAATGATTATTGTATATACTGATGGCACACATGAAAAGTGTTTTAATTTGGAGTAGGAGCTGATAATTTATTTGGACCTGAATTCTTCCCTCAACCAGGAGAGAAGTTCAGTCAGATGATTCTTCTTCACCGAAGGGAAACCAACTTTGACTAGTGAACCTGCCCCTTTCTTCTAGAAATAAGGTGGCCTTCTCACCTGGGGTGAGTTGAACTGTACGCAGATTTAGGGACCAGGATGGATCTAGACTGGCAAAGAAGTGGTGTGAAAGAGAAATGGGGAAAAGGTTAGGGAAGCAGAGAGAGGACTTTACAGCCATAGTGAGGCCTCGGGTGCCTCTGGGTTGGTCATTTCTTTCCCTCTATTCCTCGTGTCTCAGTAGAAGGGCAAACTTCAGGGACGTCCTCATTTTGTTTCTACCACTGTCCGGGGTCCCACCTTGCGACCCTCTCCTGAGCGTCGTCCACAACTCAGTCCCACCCTCGTCTCCATCTTCTCTCGCCAGATCTGGCGTAAGGGGATTGGAGACGGGGAGAGGAAACGTCGTGGTTGACAGGGAGGGAGGAATGCGTGTCCAGGTGAGGAGAAGGTGTGACGTGAAGGTGGGATGCCCGCCGCTATGACGCAGCCGAGGCCCGCGGTGACGGCGTCAGAGTTTCACCCGGGGAGGCGAGCGGCAGCGGGACGGGGGAACGGCGGGGTAGCCAAGCAACGCCGGACGCGCTGACGTCGCCGGGGCGGCAAAACGTCCGCCCGGGCCTGAGGCGGGCGGAGGCAGCTGTGGTTACGTGCGGGGGGCCGGTGACGCAGTCGCGGGGCGCTGGGACGCGGCGTGCGGAGCCGGCCGGCAGGGGCAGGCCCCAGGGCCCGGGCGCGGCGGCGGGACAGCACCTACCTTCCCGGCTTCAGGTCCGGGAGTGCGGGGCGCGGAGCCGCCGGAGCGCTGCCTCCCTCCTTCCTCCTCCCCCCGCCCCCGCCCCGCAGCGCGACACACAATACTCGCCGGAAGCGGAAGCCGCGCTGAGAAGCTCGTGTCAGTGGAAACCCGGGTGTCGGCTCGCTGCCGCGGGAAGGCCTAGCGGTGCTTGCGGGAGGAGAAGGAGGGGGGCCAGAGGTGAGAACCAGCTGGAGGAGTCAAGAGCGAGAAGGGACCGGGAGGGGCAGGTGTCTGAAATGTGGTCGTCCAGGTGACCGGAGGAATCCTCTGGAGAAAGAGGGCCGCGCATGCGCCTGGTTGAGCGCTGAAGCCCCATTGCCCGCAGGGCGCCGATGGGCGCCAGGGACGGTGGCTGCTCCGCCAGGCAACGGGGCCCGGCCGTGGCCACGCTTGCTGGTCCCGGGTGGGGCCGGGAGCCGCTGGGGCAGGGCAAGGGCGGTTGTGGACTTCGAGCTACACTTATCCTCTCTTCAGGCCAGTCCAGAGAGAAGGTGGCGAGCTGAGGCGGCCAGTTACGTGGCGGACCTGCGGGTCTCAGCTGGCACGTCACTTCCGACTGGTTGAGTTTTAGCCTTTTAACATTCCAGGATTAGGTAAGTTCTCCCTGCCGTGGGCTTCAGATGCTCCTCGCCCTACCCTCGCCAAGCGGGCTTAGACATTGTTTATCTTCCCCGGTGGAGTGGAAGTCCTGCCATTCTGTTGGCGCACCTTTTTATCCTCAACTCCTCACTCGGCCCCCACCGCAGGCAAGCTGTTAAAGTGGGTGCTAGCTAACGCCCATTATTCCCACTTTGGGGGCTGTGACTTGAGATTGTCCCAAAGAGCAGATGATGCTTGTGTGGGGACTCAGACTTTTGCCTGCTTTCCTCTTCTGCTACTGGAAGTTTTGCAGGTCTGTGACTTTGGAGGAAGAGCCTGCTGAAAGAAGTGTGTTGAAATAGGGAGGTGGTGCTGAATAGAGGTGATGGAGCTGGGGAGGACCTAGTGCAGGGTAGAGGTGTGATGAGACTGGGGAGGAGTTAGTGCTAGGAGTGTCTGATACTGTTCATGGAAAAGGCAGCTTGTCCCACACCTTCTCTCCCGCAACACTTGGCATGCGGAATGAAAGACATGGGCAAATTTTGGTGTACCCATTTCTAGGAGGAAATGGCCTAATGGCCCATCTTGTTCCTGTGTAAGTTGTGATGTTGTTTATAAACACAGTGCAGTATTTAACCTTTCATCCTAGGAGCCAGAAACTATTTACTTGCAGAAAATACCAAATGTGTGAGGTACAGGGATTTAGGATCAGGTATACTGATATAATTGGTCTCCTTGCCCCCTTTTTTTTTTTCCTGGTGGCCAATGATTTGAAGAGGATTAAACTTGGGAAAATTACGTTGTTTTTTTTTTTCCTCATTGTTCTTTGACTGTTAGGAATTTTAGCAGTGGTAAAATTTAGTTGACAAAACGCCTCAATTTTTTTTTTTTAAAGATTTTATATATTTGAGAGAGCACGTGTGAGAGAGGGAGAGATCGGGAGCAGGGCAGAGTGAGAGGGAGAAGCAGACTCCCAGCTGAGCAGGGAGCCCGATGAGGGACTCGATCCCAGGACCCCAGGATCATGACCCCAGCGGAAGGCAGAAGTCTAACCACCTGAGCCACCCAGGTGCCCAAAACACCCCAGTTCTAAGATAGGGTAGTTTGAAAGCCACTAACTGGGGGGTCAACCACTTTAGCTTTGCTTTGGCGGGACGGTGGTGATGGTGAGGTTTGGTTCTGGTTTTGATTTGTTCATTTGTAACTTTTAAGGTGTTGCTAGCATTCCATTCTGGCTTTCTGTTTGTAGGTGACCATTCTGAGGAGGAAGTGTGTTTCAAAGGTCTGTTAAGAATGTTTTTTTGCTTGGAGACTGATTATTAACAAGATTTTATGCTGAATATGGAAGGAAAGGTGAGAGAATGTTTAGATAAAAATATAAAATTATGTAGGTAATGTACTATGATATAGAACAGGGGTTGGCAAACCTTTCCTGTAAAGAACCAGGTAAGCTTTATTTTCTGCTTTGAGGCTCATACTCTTCCTCTGTATTTGTATTGTGAAAACAGTGTTAGACAATACATAAATGAGAATTTTGTTCCAATAAAATTTTTTGTATGGACACTGAAATTTGAATTTTATATGTCATAAAATATTTATTTTTCTTTTGATTTAACCCCCAATCATTTAAAAATGTAAAAACCATTCTTAGACCGACCCCTGACATAGAACAATAGTGAAGTACCCAGGATGTTTTAAGAGAGAGTAATTGGGAACAAGGGTGAACCAAATGCTGTGATATCTTATTTCCATCTGTCTATATAATAATACACAAAATAATAAAGGAAATCTTAAATCTTAACCCACATTTGTTATTATGAGTTGTGAAACTTGGTAAGTTGAGATTTATGAATGTAGTAGGATACAAATATGTTCTCTAAACAAAGTGTATTCCTTGTTCAGAATTGAAAGGGATTGTAGTTCAGGAGATGTGGAATAATGCTGAGTTGTAATGTTGATTTATTTATATATAAGGGATTTCCACCACGGGAGTATGCAAAAATGCATTACAGTAATGAGATGAAGGAGAATTAAAGATAAAAACATATATAAATTGTAATATATTTTTTAAAATTTATACTTAAATTCAACTTAATTAACATACAGTGTATTATTAGTTTCAGGGGTAGAATTTTGGTGATTCATCAGTTGCATGTAAGACCCAGTGCTCATTACATCAAGTGTCCTCCTTAATGCCTACCACCCAGTTACCCTATTCCCTGCCTAATTCCCCTCCAGCAACCCTCAGTTTGTTCCCTGTAGTTAAGAGTCTCTTATGGTTTGCCTTCCTCTGTATCTTATTTTTTCTTCCCTTCCCCTATGTTCATCTGTTTGTTTAGAAAATTCCACATAGGAATGAAATCATGTGGTATTTGTCTTTCTCTGATTGACTTGTTTGGCATAGCATAATACCATCTAGTTCACTTTGTTGCAAATGGCAAGATTTCGTTCTTTCTGATGGCAGAGTAATATTCCATTCTGTATATATACCACATCTTTTTTTTCCCCTCTATAAGTGGAAAGCCAAATTGGGCTTTTTTTTTTTTTAAAGACCTTTATTTTTGTGAGAAAGAGAGTGAGCATGCCAGTGCGTGCATGGAGGGGGAGGGGCAGAGGGAGAAGCAGATTCCTGCGGAGTGGGAGCCTGATTCAGAGAGAGCACGAGCAGGGGCAGCAGCAGAGGAAGAGGGAGAAGCAGACTTCCCACCGAGCAGGGAGTCTGATGCAGGACTTGATCCCAGGACCCTGGAATCATGACCTGAGCTGAAGGCAGATGCTTAACCGACTGAGCTACCTAGGCACCCTGGGTTTTTTTTTTTTTTTAAATTTAAAATCAATTTAATTAACATATGGTGTGTTACTAGTTTCAGAGGTAGAATTTAGTGATTCATCAGTTGCATATAACACATAGAACACCCAGTGCTCATTATATCAAGAGTCCTCCCTGATGCCCATTACCCAGTTACCCCATGCCCTCACCCACCTCCCCTCCAGCAACCCTCAGTTTGTGTCCTATGATTAAGAGTCTCTTATGGTTTGTCTCCCGCTCTCATTTTGTGAAATCATATGATATTTGTCTTTCACTGACTGACTTATTTTGCTTAGAATACCCTCTAGTACTCGGGCGCCTGGGTGGCTCAGTCAGTTAAGCAGATGCCTTTGGCTTGGGTCATGATCCCAGGGTGTTGGGATCGACCCCGCATTAGACTCCCTGCTCGGTGGGAAGTCTGCTTCTCCCTCTCCCTCTGCTGCTCCCCCTGCTTGTACTCTCGCTCGCACTCTCTGTCTCTCAAATGATTCCAAAAGAAGAAAGAAAGAAAAACATATATATATATATACACTAAAAATAAAATGAAAGGAAACCAAAAATAAGAAACATATGTAACATATATAAGTAAAAATTTATTTATTTATTTATTTATTTTTTTAAAAGATTTTATTTATTTACTTGAGAGAGAGAGAGAGAGAGAGAGCAGGGTCAGAGGGAGAAGCAGACTCCCCGCTGAGCAGGGAGTCTGATGTGGGACTCGATCCTGGGACTCCAGGATCATGACCTGAGCTGAAGGCAGTCGCTTAACCAACTGAGCCACCCAGGCGCCCTATATAAGTAAAAATTTAAAAAAAATTAGAAAGAATTGACAAGTTAAGAAAATAGCTGGAAAAAAAAAAAACAGAGAGACTACAGAGTAATAAAAAAACCCACAAATGCTATATACTGTTTTTCCCAAGAGCTGAAGTTTTGCTGTTCTCTATGATCTATTTGGTGTTAGCTGGTTGTTCCTGCTGGTCTTCTAGGGGAAGGGCCTATGTCCTTGCCCTGGTGAAATTTTGCCCCCCCTTGCCAGGGGCCCCGGGCTCAGTGTAAACAGCTCTGGATTGCACTGTATGGCACTGTTTTGCTCCCTGAAGGCTTTCAGCACCACTTGGGGGGATGAAAGATGGCAGTGCCCCGATCTCTAGCCCCAGAGCTGAAAGTTTGCACCCCCACTCTTCAGTGAGCCTTTACAGAAAAGCAGTCAATCACTCTGGTCTCCCTGATTTCTGTCCTGTGTTCACACAGCCTTTGACTGAGCGTTTTTATCTCAGGCACATGACCGAGTTTCCAGTCTCCTAACTTTATGGACTCCTGTGGTGTGGACTCATGCCATTCCTCCTGGGTGAGAGAGGGGGATCTTGCCAGACTACTGCCTTTAACAAAGCCCCTGTTTGGAGAGTGGTTGCGTAATCGTGCAGCAGTTCACGGTTTATGGCAGCATGGAGCAGGAAGCTGGCATATAGACTCGCTGTTTTAGCCAGCTTCCCTGCTCCGATGCTTGGAAACTGTGCTGCACTTAGGCACCCCTGGCTTTTTCTGACACCTGGTATCCTGCCACCACGTTGTCCCACTTGGAATCCACCCCGCTTCGCCACCTGAACAACTTTAAGCCAGGATCACCTCCAAGTGTAGCAGACTTCTAAAACTTATGATTTTGCACTCTGCTGCTTATAGTACTTTCTGGTAGACACCTTAAACTCCCTCCTCTTCCTGGTTTATCTCCCACTATATCACTCTGGATTCACTTCTTTGCACTTCCTACCTTGCAAAAAGTGGTTTCTTTTTCTGTTTGTAGAATTACAGTAATTCTTTTCTCAGATCTCCAATTGATTTCATAGGTATTCAGAATGATATGATAACTATATAGCTGAATTCTAGGGACCAGACAAAATTAGGATCCCCTACTCCTCCACCGTCTTAAATCCTGCTGACCCATTTATTTTTTAGTAGGATGCTGTTTATCATCCATGTATTTGTGGTCCTTCCAAATTTTTTCTTGTGATTGAGTTCAAGTTTTAAAGCATTGTGGTCTGAAAATATGCATGGTATAATCTTTTTTTTTTTTAAGTAAAGATTTTATTTATTTGAGAGAGAGAGAATGAGAGATAGCACAAGAGGGAAGAGGGTCAGAGGGAGAAGCAGACTCCCCACTGAGCAGGGAGCCCAATGTGGGACTCGATCCCGGGACTCCAGGATCATGACCTGAGCCAAAGGTAGTTGCTTAACCAACTGAGCCACCCAGGCGCCCCGTATAATCTTTTTTTTTTAATTTAAATTCAATTTGCCAACTTATAGTACATCACTAGTCTTTGATATAATGTTCAATGATTCATTAGTTGCGATAATCTTAGAAGAATGTGTATTCTGTTGCTTTAGGATGAAATACTCTGAATGGGGCGCCTGGGTGGCTCAGTCATTAAGCGTCTGCCTTTGGCTCAGGTCATGATCCCAGGGTCCTGGGATCGAGCCTCGCATTGGGCTCCCTGCTCCGCGGGAAGCCTGCTTCTCCCTCTCCCACCCCCCCTGCTTGTGTTCCCTCTCTCGCTGTGTCTCTGTCAAATAAATAAATAAAATCTTAAAAAAAAATAAAGTCCCCTACTATTACTGTATTAGTATCAATGTGTTTCTTTAAGTTTGTTATTAATTGGTTTGTATATTTGGGTGCCCCAAGTTGGCATAAATATTTACAATTGTTAGATCTTTTTGTTGGATAGACCCCTTTATTATGATAGTGTCCTTCTTCATCTCTTCTTACAGTCTTTGGTTTAAAACCTAGTTTGTCTGATACAAGTATCAGCTGCCCCTTCCTTCCATTCCTCATCTGGGACCCCGTTATACGAATATTATTTTGCTTTATGGAATTGCTGAGTTCTCTAAATCTCCCTTTGTGATCTAATAGTTTCCTTTCTCTCTTTTCAGCTTTTTTATTTTTCATCATTTTATCATCTATATCACTGATTTGCTCTTCTGTTTCATTCATCTTTTTTTTATAGCCTGCACTTGAGACTGCATCTCTGTAATAGCATTTTTAATTTTGGCCTGACTAGATTTTAGTTCTTTTATTTTTACAGTATGGGATTTTCTGGTGTCTTCTATGCTTTTTTCAAGCCCAGCTAGTATCTTTATAATCATTGTTTTAAACTCTAGTTCAGACATTTTACTTCTATCTGTATCGATTAAATCCCTGACAGTGAGTACTACCTCCTATTCTTTCTTTTGGGGTGAATTTTTCCATCTTGCCATTTTGTCTAGAAAAGAAAAAGAAGAAAGAAAGAGAAAAAACAGTAAGAAGAACAACGACAATGGAAAAAACCAAAACAAAACCCAAAACCAAACCGAAATGAATGAAAAACCAACAAAAAACAAAGCAAAACACAAAACTAGATCCTGGGTGTGTTTTGTTCTGCTTGTTAAAAGAAACGAGATTCCAAGATAAGAAAGTAGAACAACTTGGGGCGCCTGGGTGGCTCAGTTGGTTAAGCGACTGCCTTCGGCTCAGGTCATGATCCTGGAGTCCCGGGATCGAGTCCCACATCGGGCTCCCTGCTCAGCAGGGGTTCTGCTTCTCCCTCTGACCCTCTTCCCTCTCGTGCTGTCTCTCATTCTCTCTCTCTCTCTCAAATAAATAAATAAAATAAAATCTTTAAAAAAATAAAAAATGTAGAAAGAACAACTTGCATATACATAAAAATGAAGTAAAATAAAATTCAATAAAAGGAAACAAAAACTAAAAAATAATATATATAATTTGTATATAAAAATAGAAGTTTAGGGCACTTGGGTGGCCTCAGATGGTTAAGCATCTGCCTTCAGCTCAGGTCATGATTCGAGGGTCCTGGGATCGAGTCCCACATCGGGCTCCCTGCTCAGCGGGGAGCCTGCTTCTCCCTCTTCCACCCCACCCCCGGGCTTGTGCTCGCTCGCTCGCTCTCTGTCAAATAAATAAATAAAATATTTAAAAAATAATTTAAAAAGAACAAAAAAGATTGAAAAAATAGGAACATAACTGAAAAAATAATACTGAAAGCCTAAGGGGTAGAGAAACAATGTTATACACTGTTTTCCCCAAGAGCTGAATCTTTGCAGCTTTTTGTGATCAATAATCTTGGTGCGAGCCAGTTGTGCTGTGCCGATTTTGAGATGTACTTGCCCTATTGCAAATGTGTTTCCTTTGCCAGGAGGCTGGGCTCCAGTCTAAGTGGCTCCAGATTCCACGAGGTGGCACTGTTTTGCTCCCTGAAGGCTTTCAGCACCCATACACAGGATGAAAATGGTGGTGCCCCTCTCTCTTAGCCCTGGAGCTGAAAGTTCGTGTCCCCCACTCTTCAGTGAGCCCTCACAGAAAAGCCGTCAAAAGCTCTTATCTCCCCGGTTTCCATCAGAACTCTGTTCACCCACCATGTGATGGAACATTTTTATCTCAGGCATGCTGTTTCAAGTCACTAAATTTTACAGACTCTTGCTGCACGGACCCGCACTGTTCCTCCCCGCAGAGGGAGGGGGGTCTTGCCGTGCTTCTGCTGCTTGCTGGGTCCCTGCGCAGAGAGTGGATGCATGACCGTACTGCAGTTCACAGTTTATGGCAACACAGAGCAGAAAACACACCTAGACTTGCTGTTTTTGGCCGGCTTCCCCACTCTTATTCCTGGGAACCTGCCACACTCAGGCACCCCCCGTTCTTCTTGTGACCCTCAGGGATCCTGAGACCACCCTGTCACACCTGGGGTTCTGTCCCACTTTGCCACCTGACCAGCTTTAAGTCAGGGACTTATGCCACTGTAGTTGACTTCTAAAAGTTCCAGTTTTGCACCCTGCTGCTTATAACACTTTGTGGTATCCTCCTAAAGCACATTCCCTCCTCTCTGCTGTATCCTCAGATATATCACTCCAGATTCAAGTGTCTGCACTTCCTACCTTTCAAAAAGTGGTCGCTTTTTATTTGTAGAATTGTAACATTTCTTTTCTCAAATCTCTGAATGATTTCTCAGGTGTTCAGAATGATTTGGTAACTAACTAGCTGTATTTGTGGGACTAGACAAACTTAGGGTCCTCCACTCGTATACCATCTTAACTCCCCCCCTAAATATTTAAAAAGATGGAGTAAGTGGGCCGCAGTTGAATTGGCAAATGTAAAAGGAGTGTGCTATGTTTGTGTGTGTCTTTCTGGGTGGGTTCACAATCCTGTAGATTGGTGTATGGGTATTTGTGTATGGAGCTTTGTATATATGTGTGTAATTGAACACATAGGAGCATGTACGGTTTGTATATGTGTGTGTACATGTGTGTATATGTGTGTGTGTGTGTGTCGCTCTGAGAATTCCTCATCCTTGCCTCAGGCCATTTCATGGTTGCCCCACCCCCACTCCATGGGTTATAAGGGACAGAACAGCTCTCCATCTGCAGGAAGTGAGGGGTTCGGGGTGATGAGTGATGGGGAGAACTGGTACTCTTCATAGTAGTCAGAAGAAAACAGGAGCTAAATTGGTGGGACTCTTCCTTTCCTGGGTTCTGCTTAATAAAAGTGTCAGACATTGTTTTAAGGGATGTACATGAATTGAATTATTTAAAACCTTATAATAACCCTATGAAATAGGGATTGCTGTCAACCCCATTTTACAGTTAGGGAAAGTGAGGTCACTCAGAGGCTAAGTGACTTAATTGGTTGAGCCATGATTCTAACAAAATCATCAGGCTGCTGAGCCCAAGTGCCCACTGTTTGTTTGTTTTTTTTGACTCCTGTATACTGTTCACCCGCCTCATTAAGGGTCACCTCCTTCTGAGGCTCTGGCAGCTTCTCCTTCTCCAGCAGTGAGTCTGGTCAGGAGTAGCCATTCCTCACTGTCCCTCTAGGTGAGTCCATGGGGTTTGAAGTGACAGGAGAGCTGCTTGTACATTGGCTGCAGGAGTGTGTTTGCTGGAGGTGGCAGGAAGGGAGGTCACATCTGGGCTGTAGGGAATCAGTGGTGTCTGCATCTGGGCTGTGAGGTGGGCTGTGCAGAATGCGGAAAGGTGGAGACCAGCAGCGGGTGGGCGGGGTTCATTCCTCACTGTTCTAGTCACAGTTTGCAAGCACATCCTGTGTGGGCCTGAGAGACACTGGGGTGACCACTCATGTCCTTCCAACCCTGCTGTCCCTGATTTGCCTTCTTCTAACTGACTTCCTGGTGACGCCTGCTCTCCAAGGTGAGAGGGGAAGCGAAGTCTAGCCTCACCCCTGCTCAGGGCACTCCTCCCACCCTGCCTATAGCGCCCTCCTCGGGCCTCGCAGTTGGAGTGAGAGGAAGGGAAGTAGGATGGTAGGAACTTGACATTCATGGTTTTGTTTTTTTTTTTTAAGATTTTTTATTTATTTATTTGACAGAGACACAGCAAGAGAGGGAACACAAGCAGGGGGAGTGGGAGAGGAAGAAGCAGGCTTCCCGCTGAGCAGGGAGCCCGATGCGGGGCTCAATCCCAGGACCCTGGGATCATGACCTGAGCCGAAGGCAGACTCTTAACGACTGAGCCACCCAGGCGCCCTTTGACATTCATGTTTTAAAGAGAAAATAAAACAGATGAACAAAGGAAAGGGAAGGAAAAATAAGATAAAAATACAGAGGGAGCAAACCATAGGAGACTCTTAGCTATAGGAAACAAACTGAGGGTTGCTGGAGGGGAGGTGGATGGGGGGATGGGGTAACTGGGTGGTGGGCATTAAGGAGGGCACTTGATGTATGGAGCACTGGATGTTACATGCAACTGATCAGTCACTAAGTTCTACCCCTGAAGCTAATAATACACTATATGTTAACTAAATTGAATTTAAATTGAAAAAAAAATACGATGTCTTCAAGAAAGGGAAGGACTACCTTATGGGGAGGACTGAGTAGTTCCCTGTGAGCTGGTGGACTGGAGGCTCAGTGTCTTGCTGGATGTAGGCAGGAGGCTGACCTCAGTTTCTGGTCTTTTCAGCACAGCTTCTTGCTTCAGCAAAGCTTGCAAGTGGAGAAGATAGTAGAACGCCAGCTGGCAAAATGGAAGTCATGATTGTTTATATTCCAAGATCACCACTGCCACATTTTATTGGTTGGAATATATTCCAGGTCCCACCCACATTCAGTAGGAGGAGATTCCACAAGACCATGTGGACCAGGAGTTGCGGACCATTGGCCTTATTATAGACTCTGTCTTCCCAGGTTGTTGCAGGTGACATGGCAGGAATGGAGGGTAGCGAGGTCTCTGCATTGCATATGCTCATACGTAGGCTGCATAGTCACTGAACAAGGTAATTATCACTCTGGGTTCCATGTTGGACAAGATGATCTGCAGGCTGAGCTGTGTTATCCAAGCAGGGTCCTAGATACAAGAATCACGGCTGTCATTTGGGAAGGTCTGTCTCAACTTTGTGGAACCTGAGAGGTTGTCCTCCCTGAATATTTCCCCCTTCCCTTGTCAGACCTTCTGAATCTCTAGGAAGGCACCATCGCTAAACTGAACCATTTTTTTGCTTTCCTGTGTCATGTTCCCAGGTAAATCCTGGTCTCCCACTATCTCTGCCAGTTTGCCTCCGACGAGATCCTGCAAAGTCACTTCTTGTGATTCCACTCGGTTGGTTTTTTTCCTTTCATCCAGGTTATTTCTTAGTGATTTTCTCTTGTATTCGTGAGTCAGTTACATTAGGAAGTCAGTATTCTCTAACTTAACCTTTCCACTAATTTTTGGACCAAATGGGCAAAGGTTCTCTTTCCAAGTCTCAGCCCCTTCCCACACAGGGACAAGACAGTAGTAGGGTTCCTGGAGAGTCAGCGATTGGCACAGACCCTCATCAGCATGAGACAGGTAGGTCACAAAGGTGTGTACCTGCATCTTCTTTCTGTCCCTAGCATGTGGTGCAACACCTGGCCCACAGTAGGCACTCAATTAGCTTCTGTGTGGAGGCTGTTTCCCCAAAACTCATTATAATAGTTGCATTTACCAGGTTATTCACCCAACTCTGAATTCCTTCATGTTTCTCTCACTGAGCCTAGCAGAGAGCCTGACATCTACTACTGCCTAATATGTGTCTGCCAAATGGAAGTGGGACTTTGGCAATTCAAAATTTTTTTCAACTGACTGATATATGCACAATGTTTGAAAAATTTACATAACATGAAAGTATAGAGTGAAAAGTAAATTTCATCCTCCATCCCATCCATAATTCTTCCAAACTCTCTCCCTGGACATAACAGCTGTTAACCAGTTTCAACAGTATTATAGGAAGAGATTTCCATTTTAGCAGGTGGTACTTTTTAAGATTTTATTTTTTCTATTTGAGAGAGAGAGAGAGAGCAGGGGCAGGGGAGAGGGAGAAGCAGGCTCATGGGGCTCGATCCCAGGACCCTGGGATCAACAACCTGAGCTGAAGGCAGACGTCCAACCAACTAAGCCACCCAGGCGCCCCTAGCAGGTGGTATTTTACCAAGTTTTCTATCTGCATCTTTGTTCTAAATTATTATATCGTGAGACTTTCTCACTATTTACATACAAAGTGGTTCAAGATTTGATATTGATAATGACAGTTCTGTAGCTGATGATTTTCAAAACTTTAAGTGAAGCAAAAATCATCCTCATTCCATAGTGACAGAATTTCATGGGAGCACATGGTCACTTAGATTAAAAATAGCCTCATTCACCAGCCTTCCAGGAGGCTACTTTTGTCTGTGTGACTACATTCTGGCCATTATGGTGATGCAGAATGAGGTAGTAGGTGTTGCCCTTAGAGGAGGGAAACTTCCTCTTTTTCTGCTCTCCCTGCCCTGCTCACGGACCACGGACATAGTCTTCGGTGCCCTGGGTCATGCTAATAAGGGAACTTCCCAGGGCATCGGCACCAGCCCTGTGGTGCAGAGCGGCCCTACAGCCCCGAACGGCTCGCCTCACACATGGGACACGCACACACAAGCTGCTGTCCCGCTTACACCACTGTTAGCTGGGTTTCTGCTGCACACCCTGAACTAATGCTTATGGAGAGGAGAGGACTTCCAGGACGGGGTGGCCATGGTGGTCTGTTCTGGAGATGAGCAGAGATAGACACCAGGGGGCAGCACCGTGGGCTCCCTGGACACTCTCTGTGTTGGAGGAAGGGAGAGCTGGGCCCCAGGGGCAGCCCAGAGAGACTGGAGACTGTTCTCTCATCTTTGTAGCCACGGGGGTGCCTGGAGGCATGGGGGGGCTCACCAGCTGTTATATTTGGGGCCCTGTGTTTCTTCCCTTCCCTTCCCGTCCTTTTCCCAGAATTCCTCTGTTCACTGCAGCCAGGATGAGAATCCCTGCTGGTGACCTTTCCTCCTCCTCCTCCTGGCTGAGGGTGGTGGCTGTGGAGGTCGAGATCCTGAGAAGAATCCCCTCATGGAGAAGGAACGCAGGGTCACTTGTCATGGGGTTCCGGCAGAAATCCGCTCTTAGATTTCTGTACGTCCGAGGCTGCCTTGGACGGCGCACCTTGAGACAGTTGACTCCAGGTCCCTCATATCTTGTCCCCTGGTGAAGTCACTGCATGACTTCACCCTATTCTATGTGTCACCAGCAAGTCACTATGTCCAGCTTCTGTTCCCAAAGTGGGTATTACACAAGGGCATGAATACTGGAGGATGGGAACACTGGAGCCATCTTGGAGTCCGCCTGCAACAGGGGTGACTTTGGGAACCACCTGAATGCGTGGCCTTTCGCAGGCCTGTGGCTAGAAATGCAGAGACCAGACTGAATGAAGAGTTCAAGTCCAAGGGTGTTGGTCACTCCCCAGGAATCCAGATCAGAGTCGGGATGTCACACTTTGTTGCAGGTGGACAGGGCCTGAGGCTCCACCAGTCAGGTGAGCACAAGCCAGACTCTGACCCAGGATGTGGTGACACAGAAACTGGGACAGTGCTGCATGCATTTGGCACAGGTGGCATGAGTGGCTGTCATGTCATCCAGCTGCCAGGAGCGGCAGCGACAGCAGTCCTGGCCTCAAGGTGCAGTGATGTTTACAGCGGGATCTGTGCCCAGCACCGGGGGCAGTGATTCCTATTTGGGCCTTGACCTAGGGTGGGATGGTGGATTCTGTTCCTGGCTCTGCAGCCTCGGGCCTGTTCTGTGGCTTTCCTTGAAATAAAATGAGGCCCAGTACTCTCTATCTATAGTATATATTTTCCTATTCATGTAATTTATATATTTCATATATTTTAAAATATGCTTTAATGTTTATATTATTCATACTTTATATTATGTATTTATAATTTATATTATAAGATACACATTTCTCTGTAAATATATGTAGTTTCAATTAAAACAACTTGGAATCTGTTGTTCAAAACAAGGAACAAGAAATCCATGAGGGAATACTTTCAGAGAGCAGGGATTCGGAAATTTTTTCTAGTTTTATTGAGAAATAATTGACATAAAACATTGTAGGTTTAAGTGTACAACCTGTTGATACATTTATATACTGCAAATTGATTACCACCATAGCCTTGGCTAACACCTGCATCATGATACATATAGTTCCTTGTGTGTGTGTGTGTGGTGGGAACATTTAAGATCTACTCTTAGCAATGAGAGTTTTTCTTTATGTTGAGCTGATAATCACTTCCTAAATCTTTCATCTGGTTTTACCCCATGGGAGAGAAAATACGTTTCTCCCAGCATGTCTTGCATTTTTCTTCCTACAAAAAACCTTTATTTTTAAGATTTTATTTTTTGACACAGAGACAGTGAGAGAGGGAACACAGGCAGAGGGAGTGGGAGAGGGAGAAGCAGGCTTCCCGCTGAGCAGGGAGCCCGATGCAGGGCTTGATCCCAGGACCCTGGGATCATGACCTGAGCTGAAGGCAGACGCTTAACGACTGAGCCACTCAGGCACCCCACAAAAAAACTATTTAAATGTGTCTGTAAGACCCCGTCCCACAATGAAGGCTCTCATCAATGGCTTCAGTGCTTCCCTATGTGTGGAATCCCATGATGGCTTATGGCTTTGTTACCAAATACTCAGGCCTCTCCCCAGACCCACCAGCTTAGAATGTTGGACGTGGGCCCAGGAATCACTTTATAATCCCTACAGGAGAGGCTGATGCACGGCCATGTGGGGATCCTGCTTCATGTGCTTGCTACTCAGTGTGGGATCTGAAGACCAGCAGCATCAGCACCAACCTTGTTATCAACCCAGAATCTCATGCTCTACTCCAGACTGTCTAGATCTTCATAGTCCAGGAATTTCCTGTGCACACTGAAGGGTGGGCCTCCCTAGTCTTTGTGTTTTCTAGGTGCAGAACCAAACTATGCGGTACACTCTGGGTGTGTGCTCTGATCAGCTTGCAAACCCTTAGCCAGGGTTTGGTCCTGTTCCTTTCTCTTCTATCGCCCTCACCCCCTTAGGGACCTCATCTCTTCATCTCTAGTAAAGGCTTTAAACCTAGTTTATATGGCATGACCTCCCACATCTATTTCTCCAACCCAGATATTTCTCCTACCCTGAACTCTATATCCACCTGCTAACCTCACCTGCGTTTCTAAGATTTGTTTATTTTAGAGAGAGTGGAGGGGCAGATGGAGATGGAGAGAGAGAATCCTAAGTGACTCCCTGCTGAGCAGCGGAGGGGGGTGGGGTTGTCTGATGCAGGGCTTGATGCTATGACTCCAAGATTATGACCTGAGCCAAAATCAAGAGTCGGATGCTTAATCAACTGAGCCACCCAGGTGCTCCTCACTTGTATTTCTAGTAGACATCTCAGATTAATCATTTCCTAAATTGGATGCTTGTGATGCTGCTTACTCAAATATGCTACTTCCAGACACTTCCCCATTTCCACTGAAGGCACTCACATTTCTACTTGCAGTCTGAAATACTGGATGCCCTCCCTGATTCCTCGTTCTCTCTCCCTAGAATTAATCCATTAGGAAATGCTGCAAAGTCCATCTTTAAATATCTCCAGCCCCCAATCACTTCCTACTATCTTCCCTTCTCAACCCCAGACGTACAGCCCACATCCCCCACCTGGGACACTGCACTGGTTTCCTACAGATTCTCTGCTGGTCACTTGCCCTGCACCGCTCAATTCTGCACAGCAACAAACAGATGCTTCTAAGGAGAGGTGGTACTGGGTGGATCGTCTGTTTAAAACCATCTTGTAACTCCACATGTTACTCGGAGAAAGCTCAAACTGTTCTAATATCCTAAGGCTTGGACATCTGATGTCATTTCAGCTGCTCTCTGCTCCAGCCCAGTGGCCTCCTTACCCTTCTGTAACACAGGACAAGCTCCTGCCTTAGTGCGTGTGCACTGGGGGTTCCCTGCCTGGAAAGAGCTCCCCCCAGATCTCCTCTTACACAATTCCTTCATGACCTTCAAACCTCTCAAAGGCACCTTGGTGAGGCTCCCTCTGATCGCTGTAGTGAAGTAGCCATCGTCCCCTTTCCTGGGGAGTGACCAACACCCTTGGACTTGAACTCTTCATTCAGTCTGGTCTCTGCATTTCTAGCCACAGGCCTGCGAAAGGCCACGCATTCAGGTGGTTCCCAAAGTCACCCCTGTTGCAGGCGGACTCCAAGATGGCTCCAGTGTTCCCATCCTCCAGTATTCATGCCCTTGTGTAATACCCACTTTGGGAACAGAAGCTGGACATAGTGACTTGCTGGTGACACATAGAATAGGGTGAAGTCATAGGTATGTCTCTGGACCACCTTCCACAGGTACTTCCCAACCTCTAACACACACACTTCCCTTAGTTACTAGCATACAGTCTGCCCCTCACTCCAGAACATATGCCCCACAAGGTAGTCAAATTTTGCCTGTTTTTTACTTGAGGTGTCCTAGATGTGAAAATAATGTTCCTCTATCTGATAATTACCAGTTGAATGAATGATCTGCATAGAGCACCTCTCTCTTCTAGATGAGACTTAGGCCATAGCTGTTCGTGGTAGCTACCACTTTTCTCCCCCTTGCTGGTCTCCCTGCTCCACCCCCATTGCCTCCTTCCCACACCATCCCTCCTGCACAGCACAGGAAACAATTACAGTTCTCCATTCAGAAAAGTTGTACATAGGCTTATGGGTCATATTTTCCAGATAAATGTGAATTCAAATTACACACTGCTTTATAACTATGAATTAGGATTGGAACCAGAACGAGGATCACTAGATCTAAGGGCAGGGGGGCAGGTAAGTGAGCAGAGAAAACAAACTGAAATTTAATAAGGATGAGAAACGATCAGATCCTGTCTCTAACTCCAGAATCTGCTTTTTAAAAAAAGATGGGGGGAAGATGGGAAGAATGATTCAGAACAGCTGTAGAAGGAGAAGAGATGGGTCTGAAAAAATTCATCTTGCAATACCAGAGACTCTTGTGTGCAGGGGCTCACTGGGCCTTGTGGGAACAATGAGAAGCCATAGGACCCCTGTGGTGGTCACAGACTAGGGGACACCAGAGGAACATAAGACCAGAACTCGTACACAAGAATAAGAATAGGCCAAATTCTGTATATAAACCACCCAAAAGTTGGGGGCTGAGGGCCTGATCCAAGCTGGAGCCTAGGCTGACCTGGGTGAGGAAGCTCTTGATGCCCATGGTCCTAGACACAGGTAATGTCTGAGTCCCTGTGATCACAGGTCCTGGTGGAACAAGTTCCACTGAAGGGACCAGGGAATAGCGAAGACGACTCAGCTGAGGAGTGACCATGTTAAAGCCCACAATGCACTGAGTACTAACCAGGCACAGTTCTGACCACAGTTGGCTACTCACAGCCTCTCCTGCCCCACCTATAACAGCACAGCAATCAGGCAGCTTCTGGAAGGTTCTCCGCTTCCATTTATTTCCCATCTCAACTTTAGGAGTCTTCTCCTTTACTACCTTTATTAACACCTTAGTCCTATATGACAAGAACAGAAAACAAATATCCAGATTTTCAGTAGAGAAGTAAAATATTACTTCTCAAACATGAAGTAAAGACAGGGATGGAGATGACCTAGTCCCATCTCTGCTGGAACAGGAAAGCAGATCAGGGAAGAGAGCATAGGTCATTTTGGGGAGAGGTAATGATGGGTAGGGGTGGGCCAGTTTCCCCACTCCTCACATTATGCTAATAGGAACACAGACACATTCAGACACCGTTAGCAGATAGAGACATTCCGGGCTCTTGATGTCAAAAAAAAAAAAAAAAAAAAAGTAGGAGTGTGAGGCACTTGGGTGGCTCAGATGGTTAAGCGTCTGCCTTCGGCTCAGGTCATGATCTCAGGGTCCTGGGATCAAGCCCCGAGTCAGGCTCCCTGCTCAGCGGGAAGTCTGCTTCTTCCTCTCCCACTACTGCTCCCTCTGCTTGTACTCTCTCACTCTCTCTGTCAAATAAATAAAAAAAAAAAGTGGGAGTGTGAACAAATCTTGCATCACTCAGTCCCCCACAAGGCAACTGGTTCACACTGTGAAAGAAAATAATCATGAACAAATTCAGGTCAATCATGTAAATGTTGACGTCTCCACAGCCCACTAAATGCTATACTGTCCCATTCAAACAATCCTCATAACCCAGTCATGTCCCCTCGGCCCCAACCCCTCCCTACTTGGGGCCCTCCAGGGTCTCACATTTAGGAGCCATGAAAGACACATCAGAGCACAGAGCACTGTCATTGCCTGGGGTAGAACAAACAGGCCGTGGTCAGAGCCCACCGGAGAGGAGACTAAAGGAGGAGCTACGGGGTGGGCGGGCTCCCCGTCGGGCTCTGTCTACACTATCTCAGGGTCTCAGGGATCACTCCCTCCACACTTACCTGCAGCATGAGAGTAGCCTGGTCCTTTCCCTCCTGTGGGAAGAAAACATCATGTCAGAGGCCAGAACAGGGCTGGGCCATGAGATCCTAGAGGAAGCTCCTAGTCCTGGTCCTAAATGAAGTTTGCAGAACTGTTAACTGAAGACTCATGGCTGTATCAGAAAACACGAAGAAAGGATGTAGGGGCACTGGACCGACTGTCTTCTGGAGGTCTGTCTACATCAAGGAATTGACCTGACCTTCAACTGCTGGGGATGAGGTCCCCAACAACAGAATATAAAGGTAAAAAACTTGTCCTTCATTTGCACAAATCTTTACTAAAGTTAATGTTAGCAATTGGCTCCAGAGTGGACAAGCACAGGTATGTGGATGGTACTTCTCATTAACAAGGCAGGACAAACTACTACCTCGGGCTTGAAACCTCTCAGTGGGACGAGAAAACTCAAATTCCCCTCCCACTCCCTTCCCTACCTTAGTGCTTCTTCCTCCACATCAAAGCTCCCACCACCACAGCTCCAGTGACCACAAAGAGAACCAGGCCAGCAATGGTGCCCATGATGGGGATGGGGGCCTCAGGCGGCAGCTCTAGGAAGGGGGAAGGTGAGGGTCTCAGACCTCAGGCTTGAGTCATAACCTTGCAGATGTTTTGCAGAAGAGCTACTTTCTCTGCGAAGAGGCTCCACCCCAAACCCCTCCTTACCCCATCTCAAGGTGATGGGCTTGGGCAGCCCCTCATGCTGCACATGGCAGGTGTATCTCTGCTCCTGTCCAGGAGGCACCTTCACAGCCGCCCACTTCTGGAAGGTCCCATTTCCTGCAGGCCTGGTCTCCACAAGCTCTGTGTCCTGGGTCAGGTCCTCCCCATCGTGGTGCCAGGTCAGGGTGATCTCCGCAGGGTAGAAGCCCAGGGCCCAACACCTCAGGGTGACATCATGGTCAGAGATGGGGTGGCGGGTCACATGTGTGTCGGGGGGTTCTGAGGAAGAAGAACCAGAAAGTCCACACTTTGGGTTACCTTCATGGGTCACTATAAGCAGCCCTCGTGATCATCCTGAGGATGGAAAGGACAAATGGTTTAGAAGGGAAAAGCACAAAACCCTGACAACAGCCTAGACTCAGGGATCTGAAATAATGTTTTAGAAGCAGCGAGAGATCCCAGGACAGGCGAGATGCACGTCTAGAGTGGGGAACACACTAATGGTCCTGACTGTGGTGGAGCATCAGTGACTCAGAAAACCAGGAGTCAGACCTCCAAGGATGTTCTCAGATGGAGAAAAAGGCTTTCAGAGGGAAAGTCATGGTTTACAAGGTGATTGCCAAGATGGAGGGGACCGCTGATGGGTTATTTTATTTCAGGGACGGTCTCCACCTGCCTCCGGGGAGAGACTGGATTGTCCTTTAGCGAGAAGCGGCCCTCTGGGTGAGGCCCTCCCTCTCTAGTAGGGACATGAACACGCGGGCGGATCTCCGTCTCCCCACCCGTGGGAGGGCCGCTGTTCTGACACTGAGTCCATTCTCCCTTCCTGGTGGGAAGCCAGCCCCCAGTGGAGGGGAGATCGGGGAGGCCCCGCGGTCCCTGGTACCTGCGCGCTGCAGCGTCTCCTTCCCGTGCTCCAGGTGCCTGCGCAGGGACTCCACGCAGGTGCCCTCCAGGTAGTTTCGCCACCGCTCCGCCGCATCGGCCGCCTCCCACTTGCGGCGGGTGATCTGCGCCGTCGTGTCCGCCGCGGTCCAGGAGCGCAGGTCCTCGTTCAGGGCGATGTAATCCGCGCCGTCGTAGGCCTCACGAAAGTACCCGCGCAGGAAGCGCCCATCAGGCCCCACGTCGCAGCCGTACATTCTCTGGATGGTGTGAGACCCTGACCCCGCCCCACCACGACCTATCGTCATTAAAGCCTAAACTGAAAACCAAACCCAGTAGACTCCGCAAGGGTTCTTCCCCGTTCGGGGTACGGCGGTGTCCCGCAGCCTCGGGGTGGTGCTCGGACACGGAGACTTGGGGCGACCCCGGCCCGTCCGTGGGGATGGGGATCGTGATCTGTCCCCTGCCCGCGTCGCTCACCTGCCTCGCTCTGGTTGTAGTAGCCGCGCACTTCGTTCAGCTTCCCTCGGAGAGTCTGTGCGCTGTCCTTGGCGTTCCGCGTCAGCCGGTTCCAGTACTCCGGCCCCTCCCGCCCCCTCCACGGCGCCCGCGGCTCGTACCTCAGACTGACAGAGTCGCTGTCGAACCGCGCGAACTGCGTGTCGTCCACGTAGCCGACTTCCACGTACCGGGGCTCCCCGCGGCCGGGCCGGGACGTGACAGTGAGCAAAAACCTCAGGGAGTGGGAGCCTGCGGGCGCGGAGGGGTTGAGATCCCGCCCGACCCCCCTCCCGGCGCGGGACCAGGGCCCAGGGGGAGGCGCCCGGGAGGGCAGGTGGCGAGGGTTCGCGCGACGGAAAAGGGGCACTGGGTCGGAGAAGAGTCGGGACCAAGGCGTGGGTGGGGCGGAGGTGAGGGCTCCGAGTGCCAGGCGGCGGAGCGGAGCAGCGCTTGGGTCCGGCAGCCCCCTCCCGCCTCCCACGCTGAGGCGGTTTCTCCCGCACTCACCCGCCCAGGTCTCGGTCACGGCCGGGGCCCCGGAGAGCAGCAGCAGGAGGAGGGTTGGGAGACGCATGACTGGCAACCACCTGTTCCGGGGAGAAGCTGAGTCGCCCCGCGGCCGGTGAAAACACCGGAACGCTGATTGGCTTCTCTGGAACCCCGACACGCAATGGGAGTGCGAACTGGGGTCGCGTCATCAGGATCCAGGCAGGAGGACCGGACAGAGGTTGTGAGAAGTGAAACCAGGGGAGATGCGGACCACCTAACACTGAACTTTCCCGCCCAAGATACCGCCCTCGCGCGGGGACGCTGAGAGATGCGCCCAGGATTTGTGACTTTGTCCTGACCCCACTTCTCCTGCACTGAGTGGTCTTGTCACATTGTCTCACTGCTGAGCCAGTGATTCTCAAACATTTTGTTTTCAGGATATCTATACAATCTTACAATTTAGTGAGGACTAATCATCCAAGGATAATTTTGTGTATTTGGGTTATACCTATCAATATTTACCATACTAGGAATAAAGGGGTTTTAAAATTTTTTTCATGAGCTCATTTGAATGATATTAATAAACGATTGCATGTAAACAAAAAATTGTTTTGTGAAAAATAACTATTTCCCAAAATAAACAGAGTAGTGAGAATATTGATCTTTGTACATATTGCATCATTGCAAGTCTCTCACATTAGAAGACTGCTGGATGTTCACATTTGCTTTCTTTTTTATTTAAATTCAATTAGCCAACGTATAGTAACATCATTAGATTGTAATATAATGTTCAGTGATTCATTAGTTGCGAATAACACCCGGTGCTGGGTCCTTAATGCCCATCACCCATTTCCCCCATCCCCCGCCCCCCTCCCTTCTGAAACCCTCAATTTGTTTCCTGGAGTCCAGAGTCTCTCATGGTTTGTCTCCCTCTCTGAGTTCTTCCCAGTTTTCCCTCGCTTCTGCTATGGTCTTCTGTGCTGTTCCTTATGTTCCACATATGAGGGAAACCATATGATAATTGTCTTTCTCTGCTTGACTTGAACTTAGCATGACCCCCTCCAGTTCCATCCCTGTGGATGCAAATTGTAGGTATTCATCCTTTCTGATGGCTGAGTAATATTCCATTGTATATATGGACCACATCTTCTTTATCCATTCATCTGTTGAAGGACATCTCGGCTCCGTCCACAGTTTGGTTATTGTGGACATTGATGCTATGAACATTGGGGTGCAGATGCCCCTTCTTTTCACTACATCTGTGTCTTTAGGGTAAATACCCAGTAGTGCAATTGCTGGGTCATAAGTAGCTCTATTTTTAACGTCTTGAGGAACCTCCTACTGTTTTCCAGAGTGGCTGTACCAGCTTGCGTTCCCACCAACAGTGTAGGAGGGTTCCCCTCTCTCTGCATCCTTGCCAACATTTGTTGTTCCCTGTCATGTTAATTTTGGCCATTCTAACTGGCGTAAGGTGGTATCTCATTGTCTTTTTTTTTTAATTACCGTGTTCAATTAGCCAACATATAATACATCATTAGTTTTTGATGTAGTGCTCAACGATTCATTAGTTGCCTATAACACCCAGTGCTTATCAGATCATGGGCCCTACTTAATACCCATCACCCAGTTACCCCATCTCCCCACCCCCCTCCCTTCTGTAACCCTCAGTTTGTTTCTCGGAGTCCAGAGTCTGTCATGGTTTGTCTCCCTCTCTGATATCTTCCCCTTCAGTTTTCCCTCCCTTCCCTTTTGGTTCTCAGAGCTATTCCTTATATTCCACATGAGTAAAACCATATGATAATTGTCTTTCTCTGCTTGACTTATTTCACTCAGCATAATCCCCTCCAGTTCCATCCCTGTGGATGCAAATGGTAGGTATTCATCCTTTCTGATGGCTGAGTAATATCCCATTGTATATATGAACCACGTCTTTATCCATTCATCTGTTGAAGTACATCTCAGCTCCTTCCACAGTTTGGCTATTGTTGACATTGCTGCCATGAACATTGGGGTGTATGTGCCCCTTCTTTTCACTACATCTGTATCATCAGGGTAAATACCTAGTAGTGCAATTGCTGGGTCATAGGGTAGCTCTATTTTTATTTTTGTTGTTGTTGTTGTTTTAATGAGTCTTGTTTTTTAATTCACTCTGTCACCCTGTGTCTTTTAATCAGAGCATTTAGGCCATTTACATTCAAAGTGATTATTGATAGGAATGTATTTATTGCTATTTGGTTGCTCTGGTCATCAGTTTGGTGGCATTCCCCTGATGGAACCCCCTGAATCCTCACCTCTCATTTGTCATCTTTCAAAGCTCCTGACAGGAGCCTTTGTCAGGGAGCCCTATGACATAACCAAAGCACAAGATGGTGGAAAAGCGTAGAGCTACTTCAGGGGCTACAGATCTGTGGGGTCAAGCTCAGCAATTTAGGACAAGTCAGTGTTAAGTGTGTAAACTGAGACTGAGGGTGTGATTTGGTGAATGTCTGAGACTATGGACATCAGAACAACATGGACTTAAAAGTCACCTTGGCCAGCAAGGAGAGTGTGGGGGTTTCTTTGGTCAAGAATATGGACCATTATCCCAGCAAGAGAGAACCAATCTCTGATCCATCAGGTCCCAGCCAGGGAACAGTGGCTACCATTTATCTGACCAAGAGGCTGGGCCTTGAGGGAATTTCTGCCTTAAAAATAACTGCACAAGGAAATGCTGGAATGCTGGAAATCTTAGCTCATATGTAAGCATAGATGTTAATGGAAACAGGACCAGTTGTGGTCTTAAAGGTACACTGAACATCTTTTCCCCTACATACAAAACAAGGAGGAAAAGGTATTCAGAGATCATTGACAAGCATCCCAGGAGGATTCTCATCTTGGTAAAGATTGAACCTGGAGCCCTTAGATGAAGATTGAGGATGGGAAGTCCTGTGTGCCCTTAATCCATCTGCAAATTATCTTCCTTTGGCCTTGTCCCTTCCACATGCAGGATTTGATCTCTGTACATGTTTTTCCCACTTAATGCTGATGCAATTCCAGAGATTGAACTAGAAAACTACAAATTCCAAATACTGGGTCCAAACAAAACCAAAACCAAAAACACCCCACATAGGGGCGCCTGGGTTGCTCAGATGGTTGGGTGTCTGCCTTCGGCTCGGGTCATGATCTCCAGGTCCTGGGATCAAGCCCCACGTAGGGCTCACGGCTCGGCGGGGAGTCTGCTTCTTCCTCTCTGTCTGCCTCTCCCCTGCTCATGCTCTCTCTTTCTGTATCTCTCTGTCTCAGATGAATAAATAAAATATTAAAAAGAAACACCCCACATCGATAAAAGAAGCAAGAAAAAGTCCTCCTTCCTTTAAAGTGTAGAAAGGCAGCCATGGTCCTGGGGTAGGAGGTAGTTCTGGCAAGTATTACTCTTTTTTTTTTTTTTTAAAGATTTTATTTATTTATTTGACAGAGAGAGACACAGCGAGAGAGGGAACACAAGCAGGGGGAGTGGGAGAGGGTGAAGCAGTCTTCCAGCCGAGCAGGGAGCCGATGCGGGGCTCGATCCCAGGACCCTGGGACTATGACCCGAGTCGAAGGCAGACGCTCAATGACTGGGCCACCCAGGCGCCCCTGGCAAGTGTTATTCTTAAAGACACCCAATTTCAGTGGTTGTTGCTATTCCTGTGAAAGGACCTGCAACCTCTAAATCTCAAGAGTTCTAAGGGGCTTCCTCTGCTGTTTGCCCAAATTCGTTATACTGAAATGAATCTGTCCTCTGAGAAAGGGGGTCTTGGGGTGCTTTTGGTAGCTGGGGAGGAGGACTGGCTCTTCTCCTTTCTCCCACATACAATAGCTGATGACTCTGTAAGATTTCTTAGTTCAAGAATGAATATGAGAGTCTGTACATCTTTTAAATTACTGTAGGAAGTAAAAGAACCCAACCACACTCCTGGGCTCTAAAAGAAAACGGGCTTTAATATAATAATATTCAAACCTATCACTTACTATTTAAGACAATTAAATATTGCCCCTCCAAATAAGTAAAGAGATGGGAGGAAGAGGTGTCGAACAGATGGGGCGCATGCACCACAAGTGCCCCAGCTGCTGAGGAAACCTCGCACTGCCACTGGATATTCGCTCAGCCCTGAGGTTGCCTATGGCCACTTGTTCTTGAGTGCTGCCGGTCAGCTAGGACCAGGGCTCCAGCTGGCAGGACAAGATGTAGCTAAAGACAGAGTGACACCTGTGGGTTGACCAGGAGCTTTAGTTCAGGAGTCCTTCCCACTGTTTTCCCCGTAGCTTGAGTCTGGTCCCCCGGCGAGGCCTGAGGCTGCCCAGGGAGCCATAGAAGAAAGATCCCTGGAATGGCCACCAGAAAGAGTCCACCCTACCCTAACCAGCTCCTGACGGGCCTCACCTCTCACCCTTGCCAAGCCGCTCCATAGGCTGGAACCAGGCCCGAAATGGATCCTCAGACTCTAGGTTGTAATTATCTGCAGCTGCCTGGAGCAGCATGATCTCTGTCATTCTTTATTATCAAACTATCCCAGTAAATGTGAGATGGAGGGGATGGAGGCAAGGAATGTTCTTCCCAGGGACATATCGGATATCCATTCTGTTACACTTCCCTACAGGAAGTGATACAGATGCTCACCTTATTCTTCTTCTGGTGGTTGATCTCATTCTCCTGGAAAGCAGACAACCAAAGTCCATCAGAAAAAGCCCCTGGTTATTACTAGCTCCTTATACCCACCACTTCTCATGCTGCATTAAGGCCAGGACACATGAGGGGGGCCGTGCATACACAGATAACAGGACTGGGACCTAGGCCAGGCTCTGGGGTCCAGCAAAAGGAGGATATGGGGTGGACAGTCTGGCACCCTGTAGCACAACCCTCTCTGATGACAGAAGGGGAGGCCAAAGCCTCAGGTAGGAAGGTGCTGCTAGGCTACTGAAGTGCTTGCTGATGTGGAGGGTCCTGACTTCACTCTCCTCCCACAGGCAACCTCAGAGGGAAAGGCTCAGGTCAATTCAGACAAACCTGGTGCAGCTTTGCATTCAGGCAGCCTCACCCGTCTTGGGGACCGCAAGCTGTGTCCTAAGAGCAGCCTCCCTTCACTCATCACTGAGATGGGCAAGAAACC